AGAAATATATAGGAAAATTCTTTAAAAATCCTCTTCTTAGGAATCTTGATCACCCTTATATTTTAGATATATTGATACAGTATTATAATAATTATTTCGCTCAACAGGGTAAAACAGTAAATTTTTGTTGTATTCCGAGCCACATCGGGATCTCTGGAAACACTTAGGCTGACAATGCAACAAAAACAGCACTTCAACATGAAATTACTTTATTTAAAATTCCTTACACCGATTTGAAATACCTAGTTAAAATTTATGTTGATTCTATTTGGCAAATTTATTGGAATTTTTGTGATGAAAGTAAGCTTTGTGCTATTGAAAACAAAGTTAACAAATCATGTGACTTCGGTCTGAAACGTCAAGACGAAGAAATTATATCAAGAATACGAATCGGTCACTCTAAAATTACACATGAATACTTGCTGAATCGGGAGTCTCAGCCGGAGTGTATATCCTGTGACTGTCCGATAACTGTAAATCATATTTTATTAGAATGTTCTGACTTTTCGCCAATTTGAAGTAGACTTTTTGGTAACGCAAAAACGATGTATGACCTTTTTAAAAATGTCAATGTACATGCAATTTTGGAATATTTACATGAAACTGATTTTTACAATAAAATATAGAAATGACAAGAGTAATTTTATAGGATGTATTTAGATGATTTTATTTTTAACAGTTTACATATTTTTAAATTTCAAGTCCGTCGGATGGGACATTAAATGGTGCCCCGTGTCAAGGATAACAACCCCCTTGGCACGCAAAAGACCGTTTTTCTGGAGTTCGATAAAGAGTAGGCTCATTGGGGGCCGCCGGAGAAACCAAAAATTTTCAAAAACCGGTTAATACTTGCCCGCCAAAATATGGCTGAAATATTGCCAACTTGGCGTTAAACAATATGTTCAGAATGACAAAGGCATAATTCATCATATTTATATGGAAGCATGCTCAGGTAGTGTAGATTCAAGTTTGTTCAAATCTTGACCCCCGGGGGTAGGGCGGGGCCAAAATGGCCGACTAAAGTTTTACATAGAAATATATTGGAAAATTCTTTAAAAATCTTCTTCTTAAGAATGACAAAGCCATAATTCATCATATTTATTTGGAAGTGTGCTCAGGTATTGTATATTCAAGTTTGTTTAAATCATGACCTCCAGGGGTAGGGCAGGGCCAAAATGGCAGATCAAAGTTTTTAAAGATTAATATAGGAAAATCATTAGAAAGCATTTTCTAAAAAATAACAAATCCATGATTGGTCATGGGATTACTTTTTGATTTAAACTTTACATTAAAAAGCCATTTTCTACTTTTTCCTACCCTTAGTGCTCAGGTGAGCGATATGGCCCTTAGGCCTCTTGTTTTAAAATCTGATAAAACCGATAAATCTATGACAAATAAATTTGACGCATAAAATGAAAAGAAAAGGCCTAAAGAAAAGAAAATTAGAAACTCTATTTGATTTTGAGCTCTACTGGTCAGAGATTTCGGTGTTGCCGTTGTTACTAAAAATAGAAATTTCTGTGAAATTCTTTCAAAATGCTACTCCTCCTACAGTTTTGGTCTGATTTTAATATAACTTGGCATACAAGTAGACTATACTAAGATACATTATTCTGTTTAACGGTTTTTGATTTCGATGAACGGTGTTGCCGTTGTTACTAAAAATAGATATTTCTGTGAAATTCTTTCAAAATGCTACTCCTCCTACAGTTTTGGTCTAATTTCAAACTAACCTGATACACAAGTAGACTATACTAAGATACATTATTCTGTTAAACGGTTTTTGATTTCGATGAACGGTGTTGCCGTTTTTACTAAAAATAGAAATTTCTGTGAATTCTTTCAAAATGCTACTCCTCCTACAGTTTTGGTCTGATTTCAATATAACTTGGCATACAAGAAGACTACACTTAGATACACAATTTTGTTTATGAGTTTTTGACTTTGATTAAATTTTTGCTTTGGTTACTAAAAATAGAATTTTCTGTTAAATACTCTCAAAATGCTACTCCAAATACAATTTAAGTCTAATTATATTAATATAATGTGGCATACAAGTAGACTACATTAAGAACATAAAGAGACTGAATCAAGGATGATTATTTTTTTTTATTGCTGTTGTAATGTTTCAATTCCCAACTGCTTAAGAACTTTTCTCTACCTTTGCTATAAATACAAACCAGTAGATCGAGCTTCAGTCTTGACAGAGACTTCTGGTTTTATTTTGAGCTAAAAAAAAGTGGATACTAAATCATGGAAATATTCTAATTTTTAGGTAAAAATATATTTTGAATAAGAGGTGTATTTTAGAACTGTAAAAATTACTTTAAATTACACAAAATTGCATTATAAATTCTGACTTTGACTTTAAGCCTATCGGCAAATAAAATATTGCAAGTACTATCAATATTTATTTCGGGTTCTACTGCATACAATCCGCATACTAGTATTTTATATATATATTTACATTTATATAGCCATTGCATTTGATTAAATTATTTAAGATAAATAGCCAATTAGTTTATTTTTCAAATAGAAATAATATTTCCCTGTCCTATTTATTTATTTTTTTAGGGGGGGGCAAAATTCTTAACCAATTAATTTAAGGGAGGGTATCATTTTTGTAAACACACATATACTGTTACTCTATTTCTCTCTCATTTTAATTTCAACGAAATCAATATTTTTAACAGATTATTGATGAGCTTCACAGAGAATATTTCCCTTCTGCAAAACAAGTTTACTTGACCGTGATAGTTCGGATGGTAGAGAATATTCATCTGACAGTGAGAGTGATGATATGAACAAAAATAGATGTTAGCTTTATGCCTGCCAAACTAATACGACAGAAAGCAAGCCTGAAGATGCCTCAATGTCTGATATGGAGCAAATAGTTAGAGAAAAGGTTAATGATGGTTGTCATTGTCAAATGAAATGTACTAGTATTTCAAAATTAAGTTTTGAGGAGATTTTGGGGCATATGTGTTGCATGAAAGAACTTTCAAATGAGGAGAGAGATATGTATCTTATGGGGAAGCTGAAATGTAGTGGTGCCGGGGATGATTCTGGTAAACAAATCAAAAGACAAAGATATCATTACAACTTTAATGACAGAGAGATTTGTAAAGACGCATTTCTATTCATTCGTGCCATTGGGGAAAAATACCTCAAAAACTTAGTAAGACACATGAAAAACAACGGCATCAGGCCACGGATGCACGGGAATACTGGAAAAACACCGCACAATGCCTTGAAATATGACGATACACAGTATGTTGTAAGCTTTATTCAGAGATATGCTGAGGAACACGGCCTTCCATGCCGGCCAATGCCAGCAGTTCCAAGAGGTAGGGATACTGAACCACTGGTTTTCTTACTGAACCACCGATTTTCTTACCTTGCTCTCTCACCAAGAAGGATCTGCACGTAAGTTATTCTGAAGCATGCAGTACTTCAGATTCAAGATGTGTGAAGTTGTCCTCTTTTTAGTGCCTGCCCAGCATCCAGATTGCCACACCGAGGACAGATGTATGTAGTACATGTGAGCATCATAGAGTTAAAATCATGTATGCACACACTGAAAATAAAAAGCTGGATGCCACACGGCTATTTACAGAGCATCTCAAAAAAGCAGAAAGAGAACACATGAAATGCATCGAAGAAGCAAGGATAGAACACAGGTATTTATTCCTAGAAAATGCTCCACATGCAGCTTGTTCCACGGAATATGTAAAGTCTCATTACACGTTTGATTTCGCTCTAAATGTAACTGTTCCACACCATTCTAGGCAAGTTGATCCTCTTTTCTTTGAAACACCAAGAAAAATACAAATATTTGGAATTTGTATGGAAGGATCCAGTACCCACTACAACTACCTCCTTGATGAGGACTAGACAATAGGGAAAGATGGCATGGACCAAATACCGTTTTGAGGATCATCCATCATCATTTTCAAGAGTTTGGGTTTGGGGAGAAATCTGTGGTACCACATCGTGACAATTGCGGAATCCATGTATATTCTCTTACACCTAAAGAGCTAAATCCACGAATGTGCTAAATCGGCCTTATGATTTTAGGAAAAATAAAGTGAGGGGGAGAAGAAAATAATTTACGGAAATATTATCTTTAGGTATCAAACTTGAATAGTTTACGCCAAAATTTTCATTTGATGACGACATATTTGTGCAGAAAACATCTGAACATGTGATACATTTTCCCCTAAATCTTATTTATTCTTCAAACAATGTATTAATGTTTTATCTCCCGATTTCGTCTCCATGGTCATTATGTAATCAAAGGGAGATCACCCGAGAAACTTTATCGTCACCAAGTCGGCACTTAAAACCCATGGGTGTCAATTTCTTGTAATTGAAGTAGTTAGAATGATCATGATGCGATCACACCCACGTCATCTAATTCTAATGCATTCTTATGAAAAATGCAAGATCCTATGCTTTGGTATGACCCTTTTATCCATTGAGATATGTAAACCGACTGAAGGGTGACTGGTTTTTTTTAATGATTTTTATGGTAGCACATGACAATGTCTCTGAAGACTTGCCTGATCGAAGGTACAACAATTCCCAGTGAAAACTATCAAAAGCTTCAATTTCGGCATATTAACCCTTACCACAGGTCTACAATGTATTAAACTGAGAAGTTCAATGTGAAATACATGTTTCAATCTCGACAGTTGAACTCTCAGCATGTAGATTCCAACTATGCAGCTGCTGGCTTTTAATGCTGTGTACAGGGTTATTTTCGCCACGTCTTATTTTCACTCTTCACTTCCAAAAGCATTTGCTTGATTTAAATTCGCCCAATTATAGTTTTGTTTAAGAAATTATACTGATTCTTTCAATTCGCCTCGATTTAAATTCGACCAAAAGAGGGTAAAGCGAAAATAAAACGGGGGCGAAAATTTCCCTGTAGACAGTTCTCGTTAAAAAGAAAATTCTGTATAAAATTTCAGCCTTTCTGTAATATTATGTCACTAAGGCCACACCAATAAAATTTCTTGTTCGATGGACCCGCGCGCTCGTATTTTAGAGAAACGTAAAAAATAATATTATTTTAAATTTCCCGCTTCCGGAAATTTTCGTTCCATTTCCCGCCCCATTTTTCATTTTATTTTAAATACTCGATCATTTCTGAGTTTGAAATTTCAGTAGGAAATATTACATGTTGGGAAAAACCAAGACAACATTTATCAATTTGCACGAGAAAGGACACTTGACACTCGGATGTATTGACTATTGTTCAGATATGACGGTATTTGTCGTTGAAACTCGGCGCGTACAGGTGATCAGTGCGAAACCACCCGCATTTGTCATTAGCTCTAATGATGCACAGTTGCACAACTTTTTAAACCATGCTTTGAGAGTTACGGCGTGGAAACAAGTAAACTTTATAACTCCGTGATAAACAGCAAAGATTGGGTAGAGTAGATCTGTTATGTTTTAGCAGAGGACCACCATGGATATAAATCAAATTTTGGAATCTGCCTAAATGTAAGTGCAAGAAATTAAGACTAGATAAGATAAAGATGCATATATACAATATATACGTTTTTTCCCCTTCTGAATAAGTATATATATACTTAACACTTTTAATAAGTTGCATCTATTTTAGTTTAGGGAGACTGCTAAGCTTCTTGATTTATTTACTTTGGATGATGAGTGTTGAAGCCCTAGATCCAGCAGGATTTGGTGGAGTTTTTTTCTGAATTTCTGCAGTGGAATGATAAACTGGACTAGAACTTTTTATCTGTTTATATAGTGAATAAGTGCAGACATTGTTATTCAAGAAGGTCTTCAGTTGAACCACAGTGAATGCACACTGTAGGTAGATATTTCCATGAAGCCATAAAATTGTTTCCACAGACAATTCTTTCACAGATTCTTTGTTTACATGTACTAATTCCATGCTGTCCTGGACCAACCAGAAGAATTCAAAATATCCATCTACCTTAATTTGCCGAAGTAGCTACCCATAATTTGAATAATATTTAAACATCTTGATACTTTATTTCAAATTCTCTATAAGTCAACCCTTGAAAAAAAAACAATTTTGATTATAATTCATATTTGTTGAACCTTGTTATTCTGAGCTCTGTGTCACTGTCAATCATATTTTATTATAAATTTGTGAATTACCATATGTAATGATAACTTATCACTGCTGGCATTAATTGTAAATGATAAAAAGTAATGGGACATACTTGTCTTGTCGATGGTTCTATTATGTCTGATTTTTTTAATTATGTGAATTTTGGGACCATGTTTAGCTTCTGATATTGTGCATAAATACAGAACAGCAGTGCTGTTGGAATTGACCAGTTTCAGATGATTGTATAAGTTTTGATCACATCACATTTTGTGAATACTGTTTTGAAATATATGTTAAAGATGGAGGTAAACACTTATTTAAACAGTGATAAATCTCATAAATGTACAAGCAAATCATGTACAGGGCAAAATAAAGCCCTGAAAACATCAAAGGTTTGAGATTCATAGGAGAGTTAATCTTTTATGTCATTAGCAGATTTATTTACAGAATTTTGTACCTTTATGAAATAAACAACCTGTGTCAAATGTCCTTATAATGCTCTAAACATGTAAAGGAATCAGAACGTTTTTTAAAATTGTTTTTTTAACATATGGAGTAAAGTCATTATGTAATTAAAAAGTGAGAAAACATAGTAACAGCATTGTTATGACTGTTTTGTTTAGGCACAAATATAGGATATTGAATGTCTTACATGATCAGTGGACTTTGACAAGGTTTCATTATGATTTACTCTAGAAATGAAAAGGAAAATTTAAAAAATATAATCGCTCGCTCCATTATTTTTTCTTCCTCGCCTGAAAATTTTATTGACAAAAATATTAATATTATGATTATCAAATCGCTCGCTCGCCCCAATTTTTGGGGGTCAGTTGTCCGTAGAACAAGAAATTTTATTGGTGTGGCCTAAATGACAAAAATCAAATGAAAGTTGGAAAACATTGCCTCCCTGTTGCTGCTGTAGAAGGAAGTCGACAGGTACTTGTCTCCAGGGACCAAGGGCTAATTACCGTATTTGGTGAGCAACAGATTTTGTTTATTTTATCGCATATACAATTTTGTTAGCATCGGGCTCGATATTTCACTCAATATTCCTCCACTAATCAAAGTACTGAAAGTACTGATAGGGGTTAATTTTAATGAAATTTATAGCTGCAGAACTGTAGCTCTTTGCTTGAGAAAAATCGGACAAATAAAGCAGAGAGCTATAGATCCAAGCGTTGTAAAAACCTTCGATTCACGCCGAAGATTTTTCGTCGCTACTTTGGGTATTTTTTTCTCGTAATTTAAGCTTTCTCTGGATTCTAGAATGGTATCTTTTAATAATTAAAATATTTAACTCTTATTTTTGATACTTTGTTTACATTTTAACGGTCCGAAACAGTCCTGTACACATGTATATAGTTTTGTAAAGTCTGTTTAAAAGAGTTCTATTTCGACGTCCGTAACCGAAAACAGAGATTTGTTAGTGTTGAGAGGTTAGTAAATGATCAAGAATTTGAGTTGAATGTTTAATTAATTATTAGATACCATTTAAAATTATTTTTAAAGCTGGGGAATGTATAAAATACACGAAAAAATACCCATTGCGAGCGACAAAAAAATCATCGTCGTAAATCGAAGGTTTTGGATCTGTAGCCCTCTGCTTTATCTGTCCGATTTTTCTCAGGCATAGAACTACAGTATTGCAGCTATAAAATTTAATGTTTGACACTTTTATTGACAACTTTTTTTCAAATAATGTTCTTTTTGCTCTATAAAGATATTTGTGAGAATTAATTAAAAAATAAGAGAAAATAACTAAAAAGTAAGGTTTGTTTTGATATCACCATGACCTTCAAATGATGTTAGAAGAGTGTAGTACCTTTCTAGGGCGAATTGTTCAATAAATAAATACGGCCTTTTTTCTGTTCAAAAGTTTATTGAATAGGGCTATAAAAAGCTATTTCTGTAAGTAAAATACTCTCCATCCTCTAAAAAAGACTAGTTAATTTTAAGTTAGTAATAATATTTTATATTATTTTAAACGTAAAAAGGAATCTGTTTTCAAACACTGATACCAATGTATGCCAGCTTATTGTCATGTAAATCAAGTCTTTAAAAAAAGGTTGAACTCTAAGAGCGAGGCAACCCGAAGCGTAGCGAACTCAAACCAAGGACATGGAGATAGCGAACAGTATTCAATATCGAAGTCCATAAAACAAAACAATACAAGAGCAGAGCAAACACGGACCCCCGAAACATCAGAGGTGGGATCAGGTGCGATGGAGGAGTGAGCATCCCCTACTGAGAGGTCACACCCGCCATGTGCTCCTTGTCATGATCTGAAAATAACGGAAAAATCCGTCGCCAATTCAGTGTACAAATAATGGCCCTACAATTTGTATGAAAAATGTCAGTCAGCATTTGACTAATTGATATATTGTATTTGCTTACAAGGTGATTGAAGAGACCAACGTGTTCGAACAGAGGCGAAATTCGGATTGAAATCTGCACATTGTTCCAAAAATTTTAATGAGTCCACGTTAAAAATTACAAAGTCACAATAGTTCTTAGCGGTGCTTCTGCAAAGTATTGTTGCTATTGCCAAATATTGTTCACATATTCAATATTTGTATGTTTTATTTGCATTTTGGGCATTTGCTCCTTTCAAATGTAAATATTTTTGTGTGCAATTGACCTTCTCGTTTTTTCTTGTATTGTTAGGTAAAGGTAAGTTTTGGGAATATAGATAGGTTAGACATTTTTCTTGGTTTATATTAATCTGGTATTTTTGTATCACTAAATTCAGAAAGTAGATATCAAATACCTGCATTTCGGTTGACGTTCTCTAATATTGCCTATTGTAAGGTCGAAATCATTCAATTGCACATGCTGTAATAGGAGGGCTCCTATTGGTAAGCACCGATGTTAGAATGGAGTACAAGTAACAGCTTTTCAAAAAGCATGCCTGACGTAATCAATCAATATCTGTGAGAGAAGTGATAAACCTTTTGAGCAATACTTTTTAATGCTATCTTTTTATTTGAGAACCTTGTAAAAATATTTAATTATTTAATTTGTAAAGGAAGGATGTCTTGGCTCCATCAGTGGCGTAGCATCGATTTTGAAAGGGGAGGGGGGGGGGCAGCCAGTGACAATTTTTTTAATTACCTGAAAAAGTTGACGAGCAAAAAAAAAATTTAGATTTCCTATAGTATAAGTAAGGTTGGGAAAAAAAGGGGCATCCCCCCCCGTTGCTACCCCCCTGTGCATTCTGAAGAGTTTTTAGCAGAATGGTTAATGTATGTGGGTTTTCTGCCAATCGCAACTCCACGGTCCCACTCCTCGGATCTTATCTAGGGAAGGAGACAACAAATGTTTTGTTAATATATACTCCATGACACCCCCCCCCCCTTTTCGCAAACTTTTAGATAAAAGCATGGATGATGTATATAGACCTTTTTTTCTGTGGAATAAGGAGTTATTATTATTTAATGTAATGATATTATCTAAAATATACTACTTCTAAGTCCGTTTTTTACTATGAACAGGAAATGTATAAATTTTTAACTTCCGATGATGTCGATACTTTCGAGTTTGTTTTTGACCTCTGACGAAAAGACTCGAGATGATGCGATTGACTTTTCCGCAAGTAGATTTTTCTGCAAATACAATTTATCATTGAATGAAATGCTGACTGTCGTTTTTCATACCAATTGTTAGTCCATTATTTATACACTGAATTGAACACGGATTTTTTCCGTTATTTCCTGATTATGACAACGAGCACACGGCGGGTGTGACCGGTCGGCAGGGGATGCTCACTCCTCCATGGCACTTGATCCCACCTCTAATGTTTCGGAGGTCCGTGTTTGCTCTGCTCTTATTTTGTATATTTGTTTAATGGACGTTGAGATTGAATACTGTTCGTTATTTCCATATCCTTCATTGATCTACCCCTGGATCTAAATTTAGAACCACACCTTTTCTGAAATCTGTTGTCAAATCATTCATTGTTAAGTTAATGTGAATATTTAGAGAATGGATATAACTAAATACATATGTTGCAAGAAAGCATTTTCTCCAATGAAGTAAACAGTAGTAGTTTGTTTTCATTGATCTTGAAACGTGGGTACTATAATTTTTTGAGGATGAAATAGGTAAAACCAACATTTAGGCCTCTTTGGAAAAGAAATCAAAGATTTTGCACAGGTAATTCCTTTCGTCAAATCGTCTGGAATCTGGTTCACCCCTACTTATGTGTTTGGAACCTTGTATTTATCGGTGTTTTGCAAATTATAAGATCCGATGGGTTCAGAGTAGCTCTGGCAGTAGTTCTGGCGAGAGTCAGCGAGATTACAGCGAGATAGGGTAAATTATTCACGAAAATTTGGCTAGGAAGTGACTAGCACGTGGAGACATGGTAAACAGAAAAGTTATGTCGCGTTTCAGTTTTTACCACCCTAGAATCAGCTGATAATGTCTGTAGAAATGTATTCAATCAATCCATCTCTCTTATAGTCATTCAAACTTAAATAAGTATTCTCTATAATAAAATTTTCTGTAGTCATGAATTAAAATTTCTTTGAGGACAAATATTCTAGCATGGAAACCGGGACTATATTTTGGCGTCATATTAGCAAGAAGGATATGGATATAACGAACAGCACTCAATCTCAACGTCCATTAAACAAACATACAAAACAAGACCAGAGCAACATTGAAGTCAATATTTTCTGTATAATATCACAAATTACATATTTTAATAGCATTTCACACAAAAATTAATTAAATATCTGATTTCATTTAAAAGCTATTAAAACATAAATTAAAATTTTTTGGCGGGTTTGATTGACACATCCTTGCATTTTCACAAATCTTAACTTTATTCATAATCCTTTGGAAAAGGGCAATTTTGTTGTGTATTATTGAGAAATATTAAAAGTTAAATCAAGTAAAATAATTCTATTCAGAGTTGAAATGTTAGAAAGCAAAACTATACTTCACAAGTATCGAAATTCCGTTTTGTACAGAGCTTTGCGAATCTATCACGCTCGTCTTATGTACATATCATTGTTTGATGTTTATGATTCATCGGGTGCGTTAAATCGCCAAAGTCTGTTCACCACAAATGCACGGAATGACAATATATTGTGTGTTTGTTTTGCTTTAGAACATGTCTACTCTGCATTTTTCTGGATTATAGTATTACTTTTGCTGTGTTAGCTATATATGCACCGTTATTTGACAATATCTTTTGAAGGAATTAATATGTAACTATTTGTTGTATACCCACCTGAACCCCCCCCCCAAAAAAAAAAAAAAAAATAAAGTTGTTTTTCAATTCTTGAAGGAAATTCATTAAATCTCTTCGGAAATGCTGCAAATCCATTCAATTTTAAGGCTTTATTAAATTTTGAAATGTGTTTTTACTCGAACTAGGGGTACCTTTTCAAGGAAAAAACGGAACGTAAAACAAAGATGTCGTTTTCCACAACATTAGATCTTTCCATACGTGTGTGTGAATCTTTGCTTGAGAGTGTGAAATGAGGGGGGGGGGGGTTAAAGAGACACAACCCTAGATCCCTCTTTCAAAAATTAGTGGATCCGCCCCTGATCATTAAGATGATTGAAGGGTTGTTCTTTTTTCTG